AACTTTGGGTAAAACCGTAGCTTTTGATACTAGATCAGCGTTTACGTTCCAAATCTAAAAAGATAACTTTTAATTCTATCTGATTATGTTTTTTTAAATGCTGCTGTCTACTTGATTCCCGACATACGTACTTGAATGAGATCCTCCCTATCACGGATAGATACGGTCACGCCACAAATTTCATCATCCTGCGCCACATCCGAGGCAAATTGCTCCCCGATGGCTGCAAGTACTACTTCTTTCCACACACGTTCCTAAAAAAACAAATATTTGTCAGACAAAGATATCAATTTTTTAAAGTCTTGTGTGTAGGAAAATAAGAAGACTATTATCTGAATAAAAATTTATGCTTGTATAAATGTATTAGAATATTTACGGTATCATATTTATGGCACTTCAATCTCCAGGTACCACCCTTTTGATTTACTTTGTCTTCCCATAAAGGGTATCTGTCATCTCTCATTAAATGATAACTGTATTTAACCTGACGGCAAAAAGAAATAATTTATTGTGAAATATAAATAATAAATTAAATGACAAATAATATGATAATGTATCATAATACAGTGCCAAATAGTATAATTAGATATTAAATAGCATAATATAATTTAAATAACAATAATATAATTAATGTCAATTCTAAATATAGCTCGTCTATAATAATCTTTCTTACTTTACCTTTAAAATTCCATATATAACATACATATATGTATATGTGTATGTATATATGAGGATGATAAAACTTTTGTTACTATCAATTTATTCTTATTATACGAAGACTTGTTATGTTAATAAAATAAAAAAATACTGAGTTTTTTCTTTCATAGAAATATATAAATATTTTATTAAAACAGTTCAAATAAAAAACTATTTTTACCAAATAAAATCAGTATTCTTTCTCTCTTAATAAGTTTTTTCATTTGCTACAATTTAGTGGAATTTACAACAAATATAAAATATACGCGGAAAACATTTTTTTTGCATAATATTTTTTATCATACCTGCATGTCCCCAGCATTTGGTATGTTATTGAAGACTGCCCAGAAAGTTTGAACGGTATTTACGGTATATATTTTCTGCAAGTTGTTTTTGTATTCCTCAGCGGTTGTACCAGGAATAGCTCTGTCAATTTAGTAATTGTTTCGAATTAGCGACGTGTTTAAATTTATGATAGGAATAATTTGATTCTTTCTCTCTTGCATCTGAGATACAATTCAGTAAATGATAATAGGGAATCTCAATTAAAACGAAAGAGGTAAAATTAGATAAACTATAGAATAATACTATTTATTCTTTGTTTATACATACACGGTCTGATAATAAAGTTCTCGAACTGCAGCAATAGAAAAACACAGATTAATCAGATAACAAAATATCATATTTTTTATTTTTCAAAGTAGTTCCCCATGACACCAATCCATTTCACATGTTTTATTTTATACAATACATTTCACACATTTTATTTGATACAAAGCTTCAAAATATTTTTTAAATTGTTGGTTTTGTTAAGATTACCCATTCATAGCCGAATATAACTTTTTCAGATTTCATGCCGTTCTCAAAACATTGAAAGTAACAATTTTCAATACGTCGAAGATATATAAAGGAATGTGATGAGTATTCTGAATAGCATTCAAACTATAGACTTTAATAAGTTGTAAGGCTTAGTATCAAAAATATGTGAAGCATATTGATGTCATGAGGAAGATTACTTTGAAAGATAAAATATAATAATTTGTTATCTGAGATGTTTGTGTTATTTTATTACTGCAATCCGAGAACTTTATTATCAGACTATTAGATGAATTAAGAATAAATTTCGATACGGTGATAAGAAACGTTATTTGAAACAGGAAATATAAGTAAATTATGATGTATGTAATTATATCATGAATATAATTATTTATACTTGTCTAAATTCATCGGTGCTTTCGAATGCAATAGTTTCTTTAAATTTTACAAATAAAAATCAAGAGGAAAAATTCTATTTCGCTTATAAATGTACTGTGTAATTACTATTTATCTGTACAACAACAATTAAATATATTTGTTCAATAATAATAAAGAGAGTAAAAAAACTTACATGTCATTTATTATACCCAACGTTATTTATTGATTTTATTTTTATAATACTCTGTATAATACTCTGTATAATCGTATAATTAAATGCTTAAAATTCCCTTGAATTGCACTCAATGATAAATACGTGTATCGCGTAATTTATTAATAGAACACATAAATATGAATGTATACGAATGAATTTTTCCTTTGTGATGCAATGGCGGTTGCGAGAACAGAAGAGTGATGTGCGTTTGTGAAGACGTAAAGTGTAAATTAATTTTGCGCGTATCTGCATCGCACGTTGGATTATTTAAATAAAGAGAAATCAGGAATAGCGATCTCGTCGATGTTGAACCGATGATTTTTCGACGGCATTTCTCGTAAGCGTCGTTTGCAGTGTCAATGTTTAATAAGAGCGACGACGATAAGATCGAAATGCATCATCGCGTTGGGATGCATCAGATAGTGGAGCAGGAAAAAGAAAAAAATCACCGCGTTTCCTCTCACTTGTCGAGCCAAAAGGTCCAGGGCGTTTGCAGCGGAATGCCGGAGTCCTCATCTTTCTGGATTACGTTGACGGCCTCGTCCGACAGCACCGGCGTTTTCAACAGGTCCGCTGAGGTGCCCTCCTTCGTTTCACATTCCGCCGCGGCCATGTTCGAAACGAACGATGCAGCAGCGCTACAACGTCTAAAATCATGTGATGATCACCGTTGCCGTCACTGTCGATGACTGCAGCGAGAACCGATGACGTTTGTCGACCGAGAAAAAAAAAGGAGATATAGCTGCGGATGTGCGACAGAACATGGCATGTCTTCGAGACCAGCGCGCTCCGATGTTGCGTTTGAAGTTGGATGAAGTTTCATCGAACGTTTCGCAAACGTTTAAATCAATTCACTTTTAATCTCTATTTCGAATGCATTCTCCGCTTACGTAAAGCTGAGTAGGAATTTTCTTGAAAGTTATCACTAATAAACGCTAAATCTGGAAATTTTTTGAATCAATAAATAATTTATGTATCATCATCTTCAATTGCTAATCATCTTCAATCACAGAAGAAATATGTAGTAGTTGTTAGAAAAATCAATATATGTTGCATTTTACATAAAAAAAAGCGTTTTCTTTAATTTATAAAGGTCTCTTGGAATGTTTCTAATATATTTCGTGCGCTCAAACTAAGCAATATTATTTTAAAGAAATATTATTCTAAAAAATTAACTTTGAATTTGAATAATTTCCATATAATTCAAGATAATTGAAGAGCATTGACGTTATCGACTGTTTCCTATTCACAGAAAAATGAAATTTCACAGAAATATATAATATAATTTAACATAGAATATACATACACATTTACGGAAGACGGAATAACCACAAATTGAAGAATTAAATATTGCATTATTCTTAAATATTCATGTTGGTTGATTAAAAACGGTCGATAATGTCAATGCTCTTCTATATATCGTGTTAAGAAAAATGTAATACAAATTGTGTTGATATTATTTCGCAAGATTTAAATATTTATAAATCTATCTATGTGATATTTAAATATTAATAAATTTATCATTAACATTTTACTTTAATTATAAAATAATATTTTTAATATATACTTTTAATATATACTTTTAATATAATGTTAAAGATTCTGATAAATAATTGCAAAGGATGATTTTTTGTTTCCGTTCTTCTTTCTCCTTATATCAATTTAAATTCCAAACTTCACCAGCAACAGAAGAAAAATTCGCATAATCTGCTGAAATATTGTTAGTTACCCGACTAAAAATTGACTCGATATATCATAAGGACATGACCGGGTATTCTTAAAATATGCCTTGTTATTAAACTCTTATCATTACACAATCGGGTTAATCGGGTTAATAGTAGGTAGAACAATTGACTTTAACTAGCACTGAATCTTTCGAGCTATCGTGTCTACATACATCGTTTAAATAGATAAACGCCGGATCTATTATAATATGAATGATTGAAAAAAATGTGATACACTCCCCAAGTCATGTGTTTGTCATCACGACGCATGCAAAGACACGCGATGCTCTTCTTATGTAAAGAAGTCCTAGTTTTTAACGCATTGTATTTTTGCTCTTAGCAGAGACTACACGCCAATGTCTAATATCAGTAATAACATTCGTCAATAATAGATAAGTTGATCCACCTTGGAAAGAAGTTAATTTTTGTACTCCACATACACGTTGTGCTCAGCATGTGTGATAGTGAGATTGTATATTATTTTCATAACTGCTAGTAATGTGCCAGATACATGTGTGTCATTTAGCGATTTCACTTCATATAGGACAGCAAATAAGCGAGCATTTTTATCTTCCGTTTTTTCAAATGTTTCACTTTATAAGAATTTATTTAAAAGGATTAAACGTTAATATTGAAAAAGTTTTTTAAAGATATTATTTTTTATATTTTTTTAAAGAAACATTTTTCACATTTTTCGAGTTTGTCATTAATACTTACCTATAACTGACGGATATCAAATCCATTCTAGTTTAAAGAAATGTTAATTTTTGAGGCATTACTTATTTCGCCTTTTCCAACAATCTGACTAAAAATTTATAATTACATATCATCAATGAAAAAATTATAAATATCCGTATAGTAGAAAAAAAATATCATTCATTTGTATCTCGTAAATATATTTTCTTTTCTTTTCTCAATTACAATATTCAATAATAATTGATATATTCTTTAAAAAAGAAAGGGATTCATAAGCATCAAATTTTAATTTAAAAATTTAGCCTGTAGTATGTGGAAATTCCGTTATTAATTTAAATAGATTATCTGTCATAACCAGCTATCAGGCGAACTGCTTCTCGAGAATTAAATTAAATTCGTTTATTTTGGAACACCCTGTATAAGCACATCAACACAATACACAGGCAGACACACACCTATAGATAGACTTGTTCAAAGAGTATCTTCAAGCCTATAGTGCCGATGGCACTCGTTGATATTCGTGGTCGGGATACGGCAGTGAGTGGCGAGTCTCTCGCTTCTTCCGCGTCTTTCATTTCGGAGATGTCCGAAGGCGTCATCATTTGTGAACGGGAATGCCGTTTTGTTCACTGTTGCTTCGCGAACCGTGACACAACACGCTCACGTAAACGCCCATGCTAAATTTATCTCACGTATCGAAGCCGTATGATGTATTCTTCTAGTTTACCGTAGCATCGAGCTTGCCACACGCGCGCGTACATTGTGCCACGAAACGAAAGGTTCCTTGTGTATTAGGCGACTGCCCTATAGTCAGTTTAAAACGTTGACCCTTTAAAGGACTTGTGCATATTAAATTTGACCAGCGTGTGTAAAAGATTCGACCGAAGTATGTCCAGTCGAACAATGATTGACAATCCAATGATAATCTTGGCAGGACGTACAAAACGGAAGTTTTGAAAGATGCAGCGGGAAAATGTAGCGTTAATCATTTTTGATAGAATACATACTATGGCCCGTTTCTACCAACGTAGATTAACTTTAATCTTGGTTCAACTAACTCTTCATCTCTTTCTACTTCTAGAAATTAGAAAAAGATGAAGAGTAAGTTGAACCAAGATTAAAGTTAATCTATATTGATAGAAACGGGTCTATATCGCTTAAAAGCATTTTAGTCTTTCTGGGAAAAAATTGAAAATTATATCCTATACAGTACCGATTGTTACGGAAAATTTTTAGAAATGTTTCAATCTTTTATATCTCATGTGCAACAATTCTGAAAATAATATTCTGCAATATGTCATATGAAATATTTTAACAGAAATGTTTCTAAAATCTATCATATACAATAAATTGAAAAACATATTTAAACAGAAGAAAAAATCATCATGATGTTAAAATAGTTCCAAAATGTTTACTAAAAATCATTTTTTGATCAATCACGATTTAGTTTAATGTCATTTTGATGTTATTGTGAGTTGTTCTACTTTAATTGTGAAAAACTTTTGTATATGAATGACTTGTTCTGCTTTAATTTCGAAAAACTTTAATATATGAATAATTTGATATTGTGTGGAAACTGCAGGTGTAAGTGACTTTTCATTTTTCTAATAGTGGTTATGTATATGTGTTTATACATATAATGTGATTAATTAATAATTGGCGATACATTTACCATTTCTGAGAAATACTTTAAGTTTATTTTAATAAGTTTTGTAAACAGATTACAAAACTCTTAATAAATTTTAAGTACTTCAGAAATGATATTTAAATATATGTTTAATTGATACTTAAATAATATTTAAATTTATTATGTCGACAAAATAAATTAAAATATTATTTAAGTATCAATCAAGTAAATATCATTTTTGAAGTATTAAAAAGTAACTGAAAACTTTTTGGTAATATTTCAAAAAGATTGCAAATTCTTTCTGTAACATTTCATCAATCTTTCAACAAGATTTCATATGCAAGAATTGCGGACATTTTGCTATTCCAGAGCTGTCTCAGAAATGTTGCAGACATATTTTGCAATTTTTATGAAACGTTTCACTTTTCAGTTGAAATATTTCTGAGATATTTCTGAAAACTTTCAGTGCTGTATGAGACATTATACATAGTTTTGAGAATAATAGAGCAAGGTAAGTAATGGAGATAATGCAAAACGCATGCTGCGTTTTATTATAACATGAATAGAAATTGTCGCTTATTTATTTAACTTATTTATTTATAGTTATACATAACGTATATTAATCCACATTTTATATGTTTGATGTATAAAAAAAAATATATATGGAAAGTTTTCGTGACTTATTGTTAGATAAGCCTTTTGGATTCAATATTGAATTATTTTAATTAATCGATTATTCATTTTATTTAGTGCATTCAGAGAAAAAAGTCGTATCAGTAACTATAAATTTGTAGTGAAATAGCGCCTCAACTATATACATATTATTAAATTCTATAATAATAAGAATACTAGATTAAGTGAACTAAGAAAATATAGTACATTAACCATATAATCAATTTATAAATGGTTAATATTACTATATTTTCTTAGTTAACTTAATTTACTTATTGTTGTTATTAAAGCTTTATAATACATAGTTACAAATTTGTGCATGCATTTCTTATTTATTTTTGTCTTCCAAGTTTGAAACCAACGCTGCGCCTTTTATTGTAAGCTGTGGATTCCTTCTTAGGAGAAACTGAACTCCGCTACGTCCCTTTGGTGACAAAGCCGCGTACTACTCGTACTGAGCAACACTTTAAAAATTTTTATCTAAACTAGAAAAATGTAATTGTTGTATCTATTTGCATGAAGTCCAAGTAACTACTCAATGTAGTTGAGTCACTATTTCACTACCAATTAATAGTGCATACAATTTGTTACCGTGACTATATTTTTATGACATTCAGCACTACTTTAGTTTCTATTACTTTGTAAAACTAGTTACAGGTACTTCAATTGCAAAAGTTGCCAAATTTATAATTGCTAGAACTATTTAGTTTTCTCTCAGTGTGGCCTTGATTAGTATTTTTATCTTTGCTTGAGTTTTATCTCTAAATTTATCGATTTCCGATTATTGTATTATCTTGACGTATTGAGTTTCTACTACTGAATTCATACTTTTATCGAAGATTAAAGAACTGTAATTCGCAAGGAAAACATTTACGGTGCTGTATTTGTATGTATTATATTGTTTCATTACCTGTGTATATACTATATAGTTTTCATGATATTGTGTTAAAGATCTTTCGGTCTTTCGTCAATTCAGAGTTTATATTTTTGTGCTTCATTTTTCTATTCTATTCGATTTTCGTGAAGGTCAGTTTTAACGTAAAAAAATATACTAATTTAAATTTCAGACGGAATTACTGTGTACTCTATATATACATGTCTAATAATTATCTTACTTATTATCGTATGTTCAATAGTATGCGCAATAGGTTTTTTAAGTCATTATAAATTCTACTTTTCTAATCTACTTTTCAATTTTGTGTAATTCTCACGAAGACTAAAGTGTTATGTAACCAAAGACAAGATGATTTAAAATTTCATTAAAGAAACAGAACTGTGTTCTTGCCACATTTAATTTTTTGCTACATTTATACTTAGCAGCGCGTAAAAATTTTTAGACTGCCAAATAGCTATAAACGAATGCGTTACCGTTAGTTCTTTCTCTAGAAAAAGGGTCAATGCGGTAAACGATGTTTAAACGTCGATGATGATAAGCCACGTATAACAGCCTGTGACTTTCTGTTAAGTCGCATTTCGTTTGTTCGTGGCTACGTGGAAGAAACGACTCGACATTACTCTTTACATTTCCCAATGAGATGCAAACTAACGCGTATAACTACCAACATGTGTATAGGCAAATGTCAAACTACTATTCGCGCCGAAAGTGGATTTTTCTGATCGCGCTGATTTCGTGCGTTGTTCTCGTTGTTCTTATCACAAAGTATCCATTTGTTGAAAATAATACAATAATACGTGATACGTACCTGGACGATGTACCCGCAGATCTTTATCAAGCAGGTGAGAACCTTTTAAAGAATTTTTTTCCGAATATAGGCAAAGGTGGTGTACCTTTGACCAATTTTGACATTTTTTTCTTGTGCAAGTTGTATTTTGATGTCTAAAAATTCAAAAAAATTCTAAAATGTTCTTTGAAATGTTGATAGTAACATATATTTTTTATAGATTTAAATTGTTATGTTTTGTACATCTGTTTTTACAATAGAAAAAAAATTGAATTTTGGTCAAACACCCATGTTGTACCTCTGATCAAAGAGTGTTGTACCTTTAACCAATGTATAAAATGTGTGTATAAAGATAAGATATTCAACAAAAGTTTAATTTTATTTATATTTTTAATGTCTTTTTATTACCACCATATACAACTTTATATATAAAATACATAAAAATAAACTTTGCCATACAAAGACGTGATTTTCGTTTTTGTATGAAACGATTGAACCTGAAAAATAGTGTCCTTGGTTCATTTCGTTCAAAATTGCGTCTAATGAGCATAATTTTATTAATATTGGAGGTGAGATAACTAAACTAAATGATTATCCGACGTCGTATTGACTAATCTAAGATACAATATCAGTTATTGATTAAAGGTACAACGCTTGCTTACTTTCTATTTGTTATTACTTTTATAAATTATAGGTTAAGATTGACAGTATTAAGTTTTAAATAATTTTTTCTGAATATCTATTTAACATTTTAGGCAATTCCAACATAAGACAGAATATATATACAACAACGCTTGAAAACAATAAATGATTTTTCACAGGAGTATAATTCTATTCATTGTTATAATTATAAGTTATAAAACACCTCTGGTACTCGTATTACAAACTACATATTTTTACTTTTAAAAATATCCAATAGATTTTTTATAAATTCAAATGGTTAAAAGTACAACCGGTCAAAGGAACATTATGTTCCCTTACTTTTTTCTCTAAGGTAAGATTACAATACATCGGAAGAAGGAAATTTCACATTTACTCTGACGACAATGAAAATGGTCGATTAAAAAGAGATAAGAGATAAGGAAATATAAACAATCGAATCAATCACCAAAGTCACTCTCAGAGTTAGTTATATGGATCTATAGTTTAACGCCGAATCCGAACGGCGCTGATGACTCCTCTTAATCACCAGATATATGACGTCATTTTTGGCTCCTTAAACGCGAAAAATCGCATATATATGGGCGCAAGTGAGATCGAACCCGGATCTACAGATTGCGAGTCAACCGCATCGAGCGGCAAGCCACTTAACGAACCCGATGGTACAATTTTAAACATGATACAATTCTGAACGAAATAAAATTTAAATCCAATTTTGAAGATGCATGTTTGATTTTTTCCTTTGGTAGTAACCTCTCTCTACCCAATGAGATCAGAATTACCAAACTTAAACCTCCGAAATTGGATTCAAATTTTATTTTAAAATTGTATCACGTTCAAAATTGTGTGTGTACTATCTTATCATAAAGAAATAATTCTTCACTTCAAAGGCAATTACAACATATATTCTTTTTGTCATTGTTACAGTATTGGACACATGGTACAACTTTTCCAGTAGTAAGTAATTCTAATCATATGTAAGTTATTTTAAACGAATACTTAATAAATGCCAGTGTATTGTAATCTTTATATTTCAGCGAATGTGTTTTGTATAATAAACAACTAATTGTATAATTTCCTATTGCAATAAGAATCTTATTTTAAACCATATATGAGAACACAAGCGATAAACTAGAAATTCAATGATTACAACGGAAGCTGGATCTTTAATGCTTAAATA